TGATTCGGATGTGTTTCGGGGTGGTTTTGGACTTAGAAAAGTTGCAGAAAATAGCAGTTCTGGTGTTCTGTTATCTAGTTCTATGTGATCGCATAGGCCTTTCCGCGATCGCATAGAGTGAGTTTCCAGGTGCCCTGTTTGTTCTATGCGGTCGCATAGATCCTCCTGCGATTGCGTATAGTAGCCACCATTTGTATCATGCTATCACATTCCCCTTCCGCGATCGCAATGCATAAAAACCAAACCTGGAATGGCGCCCGTTTTCTTCTATGCGTTCGCAATACACTGTCCGCGATCGCAATGGGCAACCTTCCTCTCCCTATGCGATCGCATGACCTTCTTCGCGATCGCATAGAACATTTTCTGTCCAGTTATTTTTTTACCCAAAACAGAACAGTGATGAGATTTAGTCCGTATTTCACACGGGTTCTTCTTCTCCATAGCTCTTGAGCGAATTTTTGAGCACTTTTTCACCAAAGCTTCTTGGGTAAGTAAATTCCCACTCATTTCCATCATCTTCCTTCATTAATTATGAGTTTCTAAACCTAAATCATGAAATCAAAGTAGAAATTAGGGGTTTTGGGTAGAGTTAGGGCTTTTTACTTTTCTTGATTTATACCTCGTTTTGGGGTCGAATTTGAAAACAAATTATATATTCGGGCTCGTGGATGAATGGGTGATATGAATTTGGTCCGAACCTCGTGTTTTGACTAAGCGAGCCCGGAGTCGATTTTTGGAATTTTGGGAAGAAAGCTTAGAAATCTATGTTTAGGCATTAGGTTTGATTTGTTTAGCTTATATTGATACTATAAAGTCGTTATTTCATAGATTTGATTGAGTTGGAGCCGAATTCGAGAGGGAAAGCGGTCGTTGTGGATTAATTTAGCCGTGGAAGTTGAGGTAAGTGTTTGGTCTAATTCTAGCTTGAGGGATTAGGAGTTGAGTCTTACTTACTACTTACTTTGTGTTGCGTCCGACGTATAGGCATGGTGACGAGTATCTATAAGTTGGGGGTCGAGCATGACCGTGAGTCCTAAATTGCTAAATTGTTGTATTCTTATGTAATGCTTATGAGAACTTGGTTGAAGATCTTTGAAACTGAGCAAGTAAATGTTATGATTGAGCATTGGTATTAATTTTGTTAAGTAGAAATAGAGTAAATTAGTTATAGCTGGATCTCCCTTGTNGAGAAAACTGAGACAAGTGAAAGTGGTTGTTTTTCCCTTATTCTACGGTAGAAGTGAGCAAATGCAGTTTTCCCTTATTATCTCTAATATTCTGTCAGCTTTAATTGTTTACTTTCCGTTGTTTTCCGTTGTACTTGTATATATATATATATATATATATATATATATATATATATATATGCAGAGGTTTATCTGGAGTCTGGGTCTAGCCTCGTCACTACTTCGCCGGGGTTAGGTCAGGCACTTACCAGCACATGGGGTCGGTTGTGCTGATACTACTCTCTGTGCTTTTTTGCACATATCACGGAGTTGGAGCAGCCTTTGGACAACAGCAGTAGATTGGGAGCAGGCCTTCAGTCCAGAGACACCGAGGTAGCCTTGCTGACGTCCGCAAGCCCGAAGTCTCTCTCTCTTTATTCAGTTTGTTATCTTTTGTACCGAAACAAACAGTTTAAAATTTCCTTTCAGATGATTGTATTTAGTAACCTTAGAAGTTCGTGAGTATTGTGACACCAATCTTGGGTAGAGGACTATGTTAAACTTTCCGCATTTCATGTTGATTATTTTGGAAAAGAATGTGTGTTAATCGGAAGGTAATGTAAGTTGGCTTGCCTAGCTCCTATAAGTAGGCGCCATCACGACCCCGAGGGTGGGAAATCCGGGTCATGACAGTTTCCAACAAAATGGATTCAATCTCATCATCTTCTAATTTATTTCCCTTTATTATGCATGTGTACGAAGTGATGTGTTAATTAGGATTGGTGGTCCCGTTGTACTTAGGTATATCTGGCATACAGAACTTTCTTAGGAATGGGCTTCGGAGCCGTACTTTGAGGAAAAGGGTTCTGCACGAACTTCTTCGAATGCAAACCCTTTAGGATCGGGGGTGCCCCAGTGTTTCGTCAACTCGTGTGTTGTACGTTTCTATATTTTTGTCATTAGCCTCAATTTTCTTTTCACCTGATTCTATCCATTTAGTGATTTCCTCGAGCATTTTCATGATGGCGGGATCAAATCCTGATCAATTTTCATTCAATTTTTCCTGCACGGGTTTGACCCTATGAGCAACTTCCTGTAATGTATCGAGTTCGATTCTTCTTGGGGCTCGATTATAATTTTGGAGTTGCACTATCGCGTTTTGCTGAGTTTGTAGCATGTCAAATATCATTTGAAGGCTAATTCCGCCTTCTTCACCATTTTTATTTTCCGATCGGCTACTCGGGCGTCTCTGCGAATGCTATTTTCAGGGTTAGCGCCTAAACCTCTATAAACGGCGACATGAGAATTGACATCAACTGGATCCATGGCCTGTGGTGCGTCGGGATTGAATTGAGGTACTTTGTTTCCCGGGGCGACTACGTACTCACTTTCGCCATGAAAACCAAGGCCTGTGTCAGTGTGAGTGGGTACTGCTTGAGAGTTCGACATGTTGATTCCTGAAATAAAAAATACTCACAAGAACAAGCGTAAAAGTAGTGTGTGTTAAGAAGTTTAAAATATTAAGCAATCACTATTATCCTTAGCCCCACGGTGGGCGCCAAACTGTTTATCCTAAAAATCGAGTAACAATTAAACATGTAATGTGGATTTAAGGATACATGATTTCAATTAATACCAATTGGTCAATTTAGAGATAAGTGATGAAATTAACAAGCATATAAAACAAACTGCTATTTGGACAGTGTCCTCGAGCTAGTGAACTCTCGAGCTTGATAGAGTAAGAATAGTTAAAGAGCAGTAAGTTGATGAGTAGAAGAAAAATATATTATATTGCTTTGATATTCGTGAACGCCAGGTCCTTACAAATGATGGGGACCCCTCCTTATATACTAGAGAAATCCTAATTGTGGTACAATTCCAATTACGAAAATAAATCCCATGATTGATACAAATAACCACCCTTGATTTGATCTGTTGTGAGATTTCTGCCGTGATCTCCGTCCGGTAAAGTATATTTCGCCTTTCTGTAATTGCATTCACTCGAAGTAGGTCATACTTAGTCTCGATTGGTGCAGGCATCGGTCTCGACGGACACTTCGATTTTTGGACTATGTGCCTCGTCTTCGAGCTCGGGTCTGATTCATTATGAGATTACCCCCGACGCAGCCCCTTTGTTTCGATCAAATAAAAAAATCGGGTGACTTGATTTTGACCGTATACAGTATTCGAGATGCAAACAGTGTAGCAGATTTCCTTGCTAATTTTGGAACACACTAAGAAGACACTTTCTTCATAGATGTAACACTCATAACGGAGGGAAGCGAGGGCGGGTCAAAGAATAGGACTGCCAGGTTTCTGAATAAGAGGTCACATGACACCTTAGGCGAATTGCTCATTAAGAAGAAAGAGAGAGGAAAGTAGATAGCTTTATAAAGAATAACCTAAGTTCAAATGATACACACGCTTTTGGGTTTGATAATGGCGTAAACCAAAGGACAACTCCGTGAAGTTTGTTAAGCCAAAACAGAGATTACGCATCATGGACTTGGGCTTGACAATGGTTGATTCAGATCTTCATGCTATAGCTAAAGCTTTCTTGAAGAATGATGTTGAAAGATTCCCTACCTTTAGATTTGGAACAAATGCTAAACATTTCACTCTTGACCAGGGATTCATGGTAGTGACATGTTGATAGCTTGTATAGCTTTTGTGTGTACAGGTAAAATCGGGGATCATGTTACCCCGATTTTCCGATAAAGAAATAAGAGGGACGCATGATCTAATGCAACCTCAAGTAAAGCTGAAGGATTCCTCGCTTCGGAGCCCGCGGAGGACGAACGGTACATTCGGGATCGGACACAACTGGACATCAGGTCCGGACAAAGTAAAGGTTCGAGACTAAGGAAAAACAGAAACGGTTGAGCACGATAATCGGGGAGCCATAATATCCGCTCTCAATCGGATATTACGTCGCAAATCCCGCCCAATATCAACTGCAAATCAACATTACCAAAAACAGAAATTTTTTACCTTATTTAAACTTCTAATATGATTAAACTCCCCTACTATATAAAGGGGGGAACTTTTTTAGTTTTAACCAAGATTAGCACGCATATCAAATCAATAAAGTTCAGTTTTGTCTGTTAGCTGTTGGTTAAAGTGTTCTTCAGTTCTTCTTTTCTTTCGTTACAACCGAGCCCGTATCGAGGGCTCGATCAGAGCCAATTTCAGTGTTCACCTTAAAGCCAGGCTTAATTGTTCCATAGTGTTTGGTTTGATCATATTATCTCTGTTTAATTTAATTATTTGTTGTTCATAAATCATTCATGTTAAATTAAATTATGTATCCTTTAAACCGTGATCAAATTTAATTGTTAATCATTTTAAGGATAAACATTTTGTTAATTTTGAAAGCGTCAAAGTTCAAGATGCAAAGGAGGAGGAGTCCTCATTTCTTTATCTGAAATTAGTAATCACTAACTTGATAGTCCGCGCGCATCTTTCTGTACAAGGATGAACTCTTCATTTTTCATTTAATTCAACAAAGGTTTGGACAAAAAACCACATCCAGGTTTAATCTTTAAGGTTCTAATTAGTATTCAATTCATTATATTTTTTAAGTTATAAATTTATATTTATTATTTGTTATAATTTTAGTGAATTTTTACATATAAATTTATGCTCTTTGTACTCTACATCCGCCTCTGCCTCCATGTACACACATTTGCTATGATATATACAGTTTTTAGGAAAGAAAATGAAAAGATAATATATATATATATATATATATATATATATATATATATATATATATATATATATATATATCAGGAATGTAAGAACAAAAATATAGTGCAGAAAAAAAATATAGCGAAGACAGACAGACACACAAGACTTTATTTGGCTGTAATAATATGTCTTTCAACAAAACATAAATACTTGAAACAAAGCAAATACAACCATAACAGAATAGGAAACATGCAAACAATTTTACAACTGAGAAAGAAAACACCCCACATGATCGGATTACTTGAAATGCTACAGAATCCAAGCCGATAGTGGAACACGTTTATTTAACTTCTCCAAAATCACATAGAGACTAATTTTAAACTTCACAATGCTTCCATAAATTTAAAAAGATAAACTGGTTTTTTTAATATAACAATCTCATTAGATGAGAAAAACATGAAATGCACACCATATCAAATACTTCATTACCCTCTCAGGAAGGACAATGTTGTCCTGATGCTCTCCTGCAGAAAAGAGGAAATTTAGTGCACACATATCGTATAGATACATTATACCAAATGAAACACACATATCATATAGATACAGATGATATCTTCTTCTAATCTCTATGGATAATGAATACCCTAAATGATAAACATGAATGTATAGACACATTTGGTGGAAAAATAATGAAGATTTAAAATCATCTCAAAATAAAATGAATTTGACTGACCTTTTTCAACTTCACTCTGTGGTTTCGCAATCAGCTGATTCGGGGGGAAATATAGTGAGCTTGAATTTGAAACTCTCTGGAGCTTGACTATCTGTTCCAGATTTTTTTTCTGCAACTTTTCGCATGAGTTCCTGCATCTTTGTCTTCCTGCCCTCTATAGCTTTTGCAGATTTATTTGCCTTCTTTGTGTTCTCCAGTGTCATCTCTTGAAGGCTACTTACACCAGCAAACTCAAATGGCACAGCCTCAAGCTTATCACATGATATTAGAACAAGGTACTTAAGTCTTTGAAATGAACGGTTTGAAGCTCTCCAATTTGTAAAATCTGCTCTTTCAATCCACAATACCTTGAGTTGGCTAAAACCTTCTGAATCCCAGGCCGTCCCACTAAATGCATTTTCTTTCAGCTTTAGGACCTGAAGGCATTCCAACCGCCCTAGTCCATTCGCATCACTCCAAACAAACTTTGTATTTGACAAAGTTAACTTCTTCAGTTTGCGTAGAAACTCAAGAAATGCTGGAGGAAGTTGAAGAACTTTGCTCTTGGACATGCCAACATCATTCAACAGCTTCAATTGCTCCAGGCACTTTAGTTTTCGAAAGTTGTTGAACCCACCCTTGTTAATTTCAAGAAAATCAGCCATTTCCCCTTGAATACTCACTTTTCTGAGATTACAAGCCCTTGCAAGCACATCTTCTCTGCAGCTTCCTGGTGCAACTTTAGACAGAGTTTGTAGGCATGAAGATTCTTCTGTTGTTTGCGTAGCAGGTGGCAATTTTGCAGGGACATTGGTGTGCAGATGCCTCAACCGTAGCATGTTCCATATGTCTGCCTTTATTTCAATGGAGGGTGCTTTTGTATTAACAATAAGAGTTTGTAAATTCCAAAACCTACCAAAGAAGGGCGGAAGAGCGTGGTAGTCACCTGAGATAGCTATGTACCTCAAATGAAATCGCTCTTGAAAATCCTTTGAGAAAGTGAAATTGAGGGATTCAACATCCAAGACCCTAACCAGTGGAAATGCTTTGTGGAGGAGTCGGATATTACCAAGCTGCTCACTTTCTTTTTGTTTTGTAGAAAAACATAAGAAAGACCTAACATGCTCAGCAGATGGTCCTTTGGAGATAAAAGATCTCAAAAGAGAGAGTTGAATACACAATCGACGGGAAGTATCTAGATCTGGTATAATAAGAGTACCAGGTTGATCAGTCTTTTCACATACTTCTTTAAAAAGACCTCCATTTTCCATCTTGCAGAACTGGTGCAACATGTCATGAAGACGACATGTTTTTACTTGACCGTCTACCCTTTTCTGCATTACAATCACTAAATTCCTGTTGACAAGTTCGTTCAAGTAAAAATCTGCTATATCCTCGGGTTTGCCATCTAAGTTGGAGTTTATCAGTCCCTCGGAAATCCACAAGCGGATCAACTTCCAAGCAGGGATTTCAAAGCCTTGTGGAAAAGCGCCACAATACAGGAAGCACGCCTTCATATCTTCGGGCAGATGACCATAACTCATTTCCACATATTTCAAGCAGCTTTTAGGGTCTTCCTTATTTATAAGGTGCTTTCCTACATTTTCTTTAACCATTTGCCACACTCTTTCGCTTGTACGTCCTTTTAGAGCTCCTGCAATTACCACTACAGCAAGTGGCAATCCATTACATTGTATAGCAATATTTTCTCCATAAGCTATTAAATCTTCTGGACACTTTCGAATATTACTGCCAAAAACTCTTATTTCCAAAAGTTGGAAACTTTCCTTGTCCGTCAGATATTTCAAGGAATGAGGTTCAGANTTGGACTTTCCCATTTGAACACTCAAACTCGTGAAACCCTTAACTAATAAACACATTTGACCCTACGCGTGTGTATTACACATTCACAGACGTGTCCATCCAGTCAGCAAATGACCAACGGGATTGTTACACGTCAAGGGCAGCTGTGCTGGAATAAATTTATTAATTTCTACTTTTTCTTCTATTTCCCTTATTTTCTTCTTCACCAACTGATAGAATTAGGAGGCAGGAGCTTGAGATAGTGATGGGGAATGAGCACATATCATTCACTACACCTAAGATTGGTTCACTGATGAATGTGCAGACCAGTAAAGATCCTGACGGACTTCGTATCTTCTATTATTTTGCCCAGGATCTCAAGTGTTTTGTGTTCTCTCTTATTTCTCTCCATTCAAGTCGTGATTTTGCCATGGACAATCCTTCAAACAAGAAAAAATTAAAGATGATATTCATTTTAATTTTTGCAGAGAAGCTTTTAATGAAGAAAAATAATTGTCTATTTTGATTCTTAAGGATAATATGTTTTTGGGTATTTTTCAGCTGTTTTAATGGGGAAGGAGACAAAGGTTAGTAGGTGTAGGAGATATTGTGATGTTTAGGAAGCCAGACCATTGGTTTATTTGAGGTATTTTTTTCGAGCATAAATCCACCATTGTTGTGCAGTGAAGAGCTTCAAAGCCTCTAATGGAGATGGAAAAAAAGGGACAGATCTGTTTCTCTATCCCTTGCATGTATGTGTGTTTATCTTGCAGCCGTTTCTGGTGGTAGGCGGCTAGCTTTTAGATTGAGAACAAGAAAAGCTCAAAATCCG